GACACCATCTGGTGAAAAGAGCAGATTCTTTCGTTTAATTGTTCTCCCGATTCTTACTCGTGTTTAAGTTATTCCTTCTGATATTTATTCTCCTTTCTTCTTTTTTTTCTTTTTTTTAACTCGTTTATTACGTTACCACGCCGATGGAAATGATGTTGGATCTTCAAACAAATTTTATTCTACCATAACGAGCTTGATTTATTTTTTTATTTTTTCGAAACTCTCTCGTTTCTTTGTGAAATTCTGTTCTAATTGGAAAACTTGTAAAAATTATGTGTCAAAGAAACATAACAATAATAACTGAACATCACAGTTTGAATTTTTTTTAATTTTTCCTATTTATAATATAAAAAAAAAAAAAAATGTACAAATTCGATCGATGAACACACACGATTCCCGGCAATCCCGGTATACGAATGGGAATAAATTCAATTCTATCATATTTATTACACTAATCATTCGACAAATCGAGCGAAACGAAATTAATAACGTTTCGTTGAAACACGGGGTCGGGAATCGTTTCGCCGATCGTGTGCAGATTCTCTCGTCAAATCGAGCACGTTATCCACCGCATGACACTGTGGATGACAGCACAGGTCCCTGTCGATATCCATTTTCGCGCGAAGAAACGAACGATTCAATGGATTCTATTCGATTAGATATATACAGGGTGCTCGTGAAAAGAAAAACGAACTGGAAGAAATACGAAGAATAAATAACGAAACAACGAGTCGACGAAAATCTTCGATTAATTAATCAATTATTGGATCGAATCTGCACGAAATACGAATCTCCAACTTTAGGGAAATGAGAAGTTTTCGACATGTAGGAAACAGTTTACAGAACTATTTTGTGGAAAGTTATTGGGACGAGAAGAAACCGATGTAAAATATCGGGTGGCGAAGAAACTTATCGGAATATTTTCCGCGCTTGGGGAATAATAAGCGCGTCTAGGGGATACTATCGAACGTTACGAAAAAAATTTGGTAACTTTTTATCTCATCTTGAATAAGCATGAATAATAATCCTTGCCTCTGAGCATGATTTTTCATTAATTAACAAGAGAAAAAATTCTCGATAATCCCGTGGACGGGATCGAGATTTTGTCATAGATCGAATCGAAAATATCTGACAGTAAAAATGATCTGGTTGATTCGGTTTAAAATTGTACTTTGTTGTTTTTCTTTTCTTTTTTTTTTTTTTTTTTTTTTGGAAAGTTTCCAAAAATAAATCCGCTCGAAATAAAAAGAAAGAATCACAAATGAGTTTTCGAGCGAGCCGAGAAAAAGTTAGTCAAATTTTCTGTCCAACCTCTGCATATTTAACGCACAACTTCATGAAAACATTCTATAAACGATATTTGTTGCTTTGGCTCGTTGCCAAGAAACTTTGCACCTTTTTTTTTTTTCTTTTTTTTTCCGTTCTCCGCTTATTAACTTTGTTAAATCTCTCGAGATTAATTGTAACTTCTCTTCGAAACTTTGAAACTAAATGGAATAATTTCTATCGCTTTTCAACGATGACAATTCTTTAATACCCTCGTAATTTTTATTCAATCATTCTGCATGAAATTTTAATTTTAATCTCGCTTTAAAAATTAGTATAATCTCATCCCGATCGATCGATAAATGGTTCAATTTTGACGAGAGGGAGACGAATATTTGAATATTTAGTTATCATTTATTATGTTTCATTCAAACAATCGTTCAAAAGTTGAAATTTGCGACAAGAATTGGGTCATTTTTTTCTTTTCTTTTTTTTTTTCCTTTTTTCAAACTGGTACGTTCCTGATTCGTGACAGGTTAATGGAAAATACGAGAACCAGGCCGACTTCTGTATCGTTAAGTGTATATGAAGTAATTTTCGTGCCTCGCGTGATTTCCCTTTCACGGGGTGAGAGTCGCGACTACGTAATATAATTTAAACATCGATAAAGATCTTCGACTCCATTCGTTTCTCCTTGAAAACCGTCTCCTCGAAGAGATAAAGATTCGAAACATTTCCAAGAAAAAAAAAAAATATGTATCATCGAGTAATTTCAAAAACACGTCAAATAGAAATTCTCTTCTTGCATAACCCTTGCACAGCATAATAATATGCATTTATCATTGCACGTGGTTCATTAGAATTAGCGATTTAAATGACGAACGCAATTATACCGTTTCTTACACATGGAACAACAATGTAAGATTCTCCTTTGTAAATACATTAATTATACCCAAGGCCTTCGCCTTTTGTATGTAACGAACGCGTGTTCCTTAGTCATTTATCAGCAATTACAAGCGAACCGTGGCAACTTCAAAAAAAAAAAAAAAAAACAGAACGTATCACGTGCAATCACGTGATTGGTAATCAATTTCTTTTTTCTTTTTTTTTTCTTTCTTTCCTTGATACAAAATATACTTGTTTCTCCTCTCAAATTGTTTCATCCATTCCAATATCCCTGCGCATGATATTTGCCTAAATGCATTTCTTGAAAAATTGAAACAATTGTGAGAATATATAAAATAAGTTACATTTTCTTTTTTCAATTTTGCTTATTTTTCTATCATTCCGTGCGTTTAATAATAATTGAAACGATTCCATCGATAGAATTAAATAGGATGGAGTAAAAATGAAATAAAATTGTGAAAGTCTTTCAATGTTGCTGGACGAATAGTAGTCGTACAGGGGCTGACTCACTGAACAGTTTCTGAATAGAATGAAAGGAAGAGAGAGAGAGAGAGAGAGAGAGAGAGAGAGAGAGAGAGAGAGAGAGAGAGAGAG